TAGCGGGCAGTCTGTCCTGGAACTTGAGGCGGTCTTTCTGGCTTGGTCTCATTTGCAAGGACTATAGTCATACGCCAGCACTGGGCCTTGCAGTCTGTGCTTTTACGCCTGGATTTTTCCTCCATACAATGCTCATGAGATCCTTTTTGAGATAGCAGGGTCTCACTCTGTAGACCAGACTGGCCTTTTACTCACAGAGATCCACCTGCCTCTGCTTCCTGAGTACTGGGATTAAAGGCGTGCACTATTGTGCCTGTTCTTTTTAAAAAACAAAACCAAAACTCTGTGTGGGTGTTTTGCCTACATGTATATCTGTACACAGTGTGTATGCAGTGCTCACAGAAGCCAGAAGAGGACGTCAGATCCTCTGGAACTGGAGTTACAGACACTTGTGAGCTGCTATGTGGGTGCTGGAAATTGAACCTGGGTCCTCTGGAGGAGCAGCCAGTGCTCTCAACCACTGAACCCTCTGTCTTAGGGTTTCTGTTGCTGTGAAGAGGCACCACAGCTGGGCAGTAGTGGCACATGCCTTTAATCCCAGCATCCAGGAGGCAAAGGCAGGCAGATCTCTGTGAGTTCAAGGCCAGCCTGGTCTACAGAATGAGTTCCAGGACAAGTTCCAAAGCTACACAGAGAAACCCTGTCTTGAAAAAAACAAAAAGAGACACCATGACCACGGCAATTCTACTAAAGGAAAACATTTAATGAAGGTGGCAGCTTCCGAGGTTCAGTCCATTATCACTGTGGGGAGTGTGGCAGTGGCATACCGGCAGACGACAGACGTGGTCCTGGAGGAGGAGCTGAGAGTCCTACATCTTGCAGGCAACAGGAAGTCGACTGAAACACTGGGAAGTATCCTGAGCTTAAGAAACCTCAAAGCTTGCCTCCACAGTGACACACTTTCTCCAAGAAGGCCACAAATCCTAATAGTGCCACTCCTATGAGATCATGGGGGCCAATTACATTCAAACTACCACACTCTTTCAAGCCCTTTTATCACTGGGGACTGAACCCTAAATATTGTGCATTTTAGGTAAGTGCTGTGCCACTAATCTAAGCCCCAGAACTTTTTAGGGTATGTTATATACACAGATATGTGTGGGTACACATACTTGGGTACACACAGGTAGAGGTCAGAGGAAGGGAAACAAGATCCCTCACTGGGGCCTGGAGAGATGGCTCAGAGGTTAAGAGCATTAGCTGCTCTTCCAGAGGTCCTAATTCAGTTCCCAGCAGCTACTTGGTAGCTCACAGCCATCTATAATAAGATCTGGTGCCCTCTTCTGGTGGACAGGCATACGTGCAGTCAGAACACTATGTACATAATAAATAAATCTTTAAAAAAATCCCTCACTGAACAATATACTTTCCATTTTTACTAGGCTGCCTGTGTGTCTATCCTCCCAGCACTAGGCTTATGGGTACATGTGGCTATGCCTGGCATTTTATTTTACATTTTATTTATTTATTTGTGTGTGTGTGTGTATCAGGGAACAACTTTTAGAAGTTTATTTTTTTCTTTTGCTGTGGGTTCTGGAGATCAAAATAGGTGGTTGGGTTTAGTTGTGTCTTTATAGACTCACTAGCCTTAGTTTTTGTTTGTTTTTAGTGTGAATCCTAGGGATTTGAACTCAGGTCTTCTTGTTTCCACAAGACTTCTTATCCATTGAGCCATTTCCCAAGCCCCCCTCTTTATTTTTTTTTTTTTTAATTTTCATTTCAAGACAGTCTAAACTGCACAGGCAGGCATTGAACTTGTGATCCTCTTACCTCTGCTTCCTGAAGAGCTGGGAGTACAGGCTGATGCCACCAGGGTCTGGTTTATACAGCGTTCCAAATCTGTACATTCCTCCTCATAGGTTTTCTGATTCATATCTCTCTCTCTCTCTCTCTCTCTCTCTCTCTCCCATCCCTGCTCTCCGTAGATTTTGCAAGGGGGAGTACAGAAGACAGAAATGCTGGAACTGCTTTAGCAGAAGGTCTGGGGCAAGCTCTGGTACTCCTCTCTTACTCTCTGATGGGGGACAAGCCTTGTCACAGGGGCCCGAGGACACCACGGCTCTGCTCACACCTAGACATTATTCTCTTGTTTCCTAGAACCCAAGAAGGCAACAGGAATGTCCTTGCCCCATCATCTTCCTGGGCCATAGCAGCTCCAACTGTGTCCCTAGGGATGGGGTGAGAATTTTAGAATTATGTATCCTAGGCTGTTTGCTGGGGCCCAGAGAAAAAGAAAGGCAGGGGTGGCTAGTAACTGAGGACTAGTAACCTACCAGGTTAATTTAGGACCGGAACACGTCCAGAGGAGGCCTGAGACACAGCCTGCCCTCCAAGACACCTGGTCCCTTGTCACTTTTCTTTCACTACCCTACCACATCATCCCAGGAGCTCCGGGTTCCCGTCTCTCCCCGGTGCTCCCATCCCCTGCCACAGCCTTTGATGCTACTGACCTTGAATGTAGAATGAACTTCTGAAGTTGGGGTTGGTGGTGGATGCCTATTACCCCAGCACTCAGGAGGTTGAGGCAGGGAGAGTACCAGAGCCAAGGCAGCCTGGGCCACAGAGCCAGGTCCGGCCTCAGCACATCAGACAACAAACAAGCAAACAAATAAAAGAAAACCTTGATCTCTAGGCCTTGGATTGTAGTTCACTCGGTCAAAATTTTGCCTAACGTGCACAAATCCCTGGGTTTGACACTCAGCACTGCATAAACTGGGCATGGCATCCCAACAGTCAGGAATGGTGGCAGGAAGATAGAAGTTCAGGGTTATCCCGTAGGACCTAGGGGTTCAAGCCAGGGATACATAAGACCCTGTTTAAAGAGACAAACCCCTCTGAAGCTCCAGAGACTCCTTTCTCTCTCTGCAGCAGCTGGTATACAGTTCAAAGTGCGGCCTCAGGCTACAGACCTGCCCTGGAATCCTGCTTGGCAGCCTCTTGGCTGCACATCTTGGGCAGCCTGTTTCCCTGTTGGTGAAACATCACAGAAACACTAGCAGCTCCCTTCATGCACAGTGAGGAAGACAATGGAGATGTGCAGCTGGGGCCTGGCTCTAAGGCTTGCCCTACTCCCTTTTCTGCCTTGCATTTTACCTCCTTGAATACAAGACATTCTTCCAGTGTCAGAGGCTTGTCAGGCCACTGGGAGACAGTGTGGGTGGCCAGACAGCCTCTGCCCTCAGGTACTTGCCCAGACTTTGGATAGAGACCCACCCTGTGGCAGGCTAGTGTTCCCATGACTGCTGCAGGATGTGGAGGAGGCAAAGGTGTGGAGTGGTCAGCAGAAGGTTTCCTGAAGCAGTGTCATCCAAAGACACTGCCTAATAGATGGCAGTTTTTGTTTATTTATTTATTTTGATACAGGGTCTGTGTAGCCCTGGTTGTCCTGGAACTCACTATGTAGAACAAGATGGCCTTGAACTCACAGAGATCTGCCTGCCTCTGCCCCTCTGAGTGCTGGAATTAAAGGTATACACCACCAGGACCTGTAATATATGGCTGTTTTATTTTCACTATAGCTGTAAATGTTTGCTTATTGTGGGCTGGAGAGATGGCTCAGTGGTTAAGAGCACTGGCCACTCTTCTGGAAGACCCAAGTTCAGTTCCCAGCACCCATATGATAGCTCATAACTGTAACTCCATTTCTGGGGGCTCCAACACCCTCACACAGACATACATGCAGGGAAAACACCAATGCACACAAAATAAATAAATCATCTAAAAATTTCTTATTGTTATATTTTCTTCTAAAGGATGAGAAACCTGTCTGCCTTGTTCATCACAGTGTCTGGCACACCACTGGGCTAACGCGAATTTGCTGAATAAAGAAGGCTATGTTAGTATGTGGAGGCTAGGACAGGAGCTGGCATGATGAGGAGGGCAAAGGAAAGGTGTTCTAGGTAGAATACAAAGAGTAAAAAGGCCGAAGCCTGGAGAGGTGGAGGAGGGACCCAGACACAGTGACAGAAATATGGAACATCGAGAAGTGAAGCAGAAAGGCAATCTCCATGACCGGGGACGTGACTAGGAAGCAAAGGGGGAACCACTTTGGTCAGGGGTGTGTCTAGTAAAGCAAGAAGGAAGGAAGGAGGGAGGGAAAGGGATGAAGGAAAAAATAAAGGCAGTGGGGAGACAGATGGATAAAGAGGGAGCTGGCCATGATGCCACATACCTGTAATGGCGACAGCCTTTAATGGGTACAGGAGACTTAAACAACTATGTCCCCAACAGACACACAGGAGGGAGCCAGAAGCTGAGAACCGTTGACAGTTACAGGAAACTGGTACCTGAGAGGTAACAGTAAGTAAATAGAGTGGTCTGCGGCTGAGAGGTTAAGAGCACTCGCTGCTTTTGCAGAGGACCCGTTCAGTTCAGTTCCCGACACATGACTGCTCACCATTGCCTATAACTTCAGTTCCAGAGGACCCACCACCCTCTTCTGGCCTCTGTGCACTCTGCATGCACGTGGTGCACAGATGTGCATACAAACAAAAAGGTTATACACACAAAATAAAAATAAATAATAGATGTTCTGTATGTGTGTGTGTTTTTTTAAGGAGATAGGGTTTCTCTGTGTAGTCCTGGCTGTCCAGGAACTCATTCTGTAGACCAGATTGGCCTCAAGCACAGGGATCCGTTTGCCTCTGCCTCCTGGGTGCTGGGATTAAAGGCGTGTGCCAGCACCGCCTGGCTATTAACAATGTTTTTAAAAGTAGAGGCAACTAGTTAGAGGCTGGAGTCACCAGCTCAGGCCCAGCAGAGAGAGGATACTAAATAGTGTCTGAATGGGAGGAGGAGTCGAGCATGCAGTTAGCCTTCTCGACTGCGTGTGCAGGTGGGACAAAAGCTGTCTCATTTCCCCTCCCATCTGCGGTAGGATGGTGTCGATTGGATGGTGTCGACTGGATGGTGTCGATTGGCTGTTTTGAGGAGCGCGCCAGAAACAGCCCAGGCGGAGGAGGGACGCGTCGTGACGTCATTTCCGAGCTAGTTCCGTGCGGCCGCGTCCAGAGCCGGAACTTCCGGCTGGTGAGGTCGTCTTCCTGACCTTGGGCTCCCGCTGGTCCTTGTCCAGTCGTTCCGCGCCGTCATGTCTGCCCTGACGCCGCTGCTGCTGAGGGGCCTGACCGGCTCGGCCCGGCGGCTCATGGTGCCGCGCGCTCAGATCCACTCGAAGCCGCCGCGGGAGCAGCTCGGGGTCGTGGTGAGCGGGATGGACAGGGTGCTCGGGCGGCCTGCAGCTCTGGCTCGGGCCTGTCTGCAGGGCGTGGAGGGGACAGGGTGCTTGGATGCTCTTAAGCCCTAGCTAGGACTTTCCCCCAGTCCCTGGATCTCAGGTCAGCCCATCAGACTCTGCTTGGCTGTTTACTCGCTGCTCAGCCTCTAAGCCAGTTTACCTTTCCATTTTTTGGTGGGGAATGCCTGATAACTGGCAGCTACGGTAATGGTTGTTGCCCCATTTTTTTTTTTTTTTTTTTTTTTTTTTTTTTTTTTTTTTTAAGGAGGGGTGCAGGAGACCCACTAGGTCTTTGGGATTCTCAGAAATGTAGGATAGCTGTTTTCACTTTTTAAACGTTTTTTTAAATTGAGACGGGGTCTCATGTAGCCCAGGCTGGCCTCGAACTTGTAGTCATATTTGACCTTGAACTGATAGTCCTGTCTGCATCTTTTTAGTGCCGGGATTACAGGCTTGTACCACCACTTTTGGTTTATGTGGTGCTGGAGATCAAACCCAGGACTTTCTTAAAAGCTACATCCCGGTCCAGGCTCCTTCCTTTTGTTTTGTTTTGTTTGTTTGTTTTTTAGAGCTTTTCTATTCTAAGTGAGAGCGGTCCTGAATCCAGGCAGCTGGTCACTGAGTTAGGCCTAGAACCAAAGCGTTGCCACCGAGGAAACAGTAACAATCAAGTCATGCCTGTCTGTAGTCCCAGGTACTGGGGAGGTTGAGGCAGGAAGACCAAGCTCAGGAATTCAGGTCAATTAGGGCAACATCATGAGACTTTGTCTCAAGACAAGGGCCTGGGAGCTGGAGAGGTAGGTGGCTCAGCACTTAAGAGCATGATTTCCCAAGATTGGAGCTTGGGTCCTGGCAACCATGTATCAAGCCAGATGCTTGTAACTCCAGCTCCAAGGGAACTGACACCCTCTCCTGGCCTCTGTGAAAGTATAGGCGCACATACCTGTGCTCACGCCCCCCCAACACACACCACAAATGCAGATAAAACAAATCTTTAAAAGTTATGAAAAAACACTCAGAGCCGGGCGGTGGTGGCGCACGCCTTTAATCCCAGCATTCGGGAGGCAGAGCCAGGCGGATCTCTGTGAGTTC